CTTTTCTAACCGACGCCACGAATTGTGGCTTGTGAGAGGTGCTCCATTACTGAAACGATCACTTACTTCAGCATCGCGTTTATTATGCGTAATGAACTGGAGAGACGTCGAAATGGAATCCGATCGTTTGGTGGAGGAAATCGTGCAATAGTTACAGATTTATGCATCACACCACTTCACGCCACTCACCGGAAATCATTTGCTAAAGAGCAGGTGCGCTAGAGAACTTTACTCAATAATTGGATGGCGTTGAAAAATAAATAGGATCTGATGACCACTCTGTCTTTCTCATTGGCACGCCTGCTCTTCTTACGTATTGGGAGGAGAAGGGCACGACAACGAACCCAGAACGTTTAATATACGCCCAACTGTAAGCCCCCGCAAATTTTTGCGTCCATCCGACTATTGCGGCAGCACCTTATTGATGAGAGAGAAGAATGAGAACTTCAAAGTATTGACCGTCGAGACCCTCGCGCTCCACACATACAAGATGGAGGAGGAATGTAGAAAAGGAGACGCAAAAGAAAGATTAAAATGTATTGAATATGCAGTTAGGCAGGTGGTGAGATCCGCTCCTCCGCATGATGCTATTATAACTTCTGGGTTTATGTGGTTTTCGTCCATGCAAGCAGATGCAGATGTTCGGGGTTTGGAAAGGTTGATACGCACGAATCTGTTTGAGATGTATTATTTAGTCATCTACGTACTTACGAGTTCATGCTAACTATTGATATTGCTAGCCAATTGTTTTGATATTGAGTAGTCTCCTTACATCCAAGCCCTCTACAGCTTTCCGCTCTAAACTTAACGATCAAACTTTTGTGCTACTTGGTGCTCACGAACCCTGAGTCTACGACCCCCCCCTCCTCCTAAGCTATCCAGTACGACTCCCGATGAGCTGCACAACGATGATGTACCCTGAGTGGCGGCCAGCGCATACGTTTCAGAGATTAAATCACGGATTGGCTTTACCTCAGGCCAACTAAGCCTTCTACCCTCCAGAAACGGTAAGTTTGCACCAGATCCGTGTGGGCTGATAAAGACTTGCACACTGGCTGGTCCAACGAGTCACTGTATGAGTTGCGTCGCACTGAATAGCCGATTACGATTCCGAATGGAACAGTATGTGTAACACACACCATCCGTTTTCAGTGATCTTCAGCACATCATTCTCTTCCTCATCCGTTTTGCCATCCTGTGTGTTTGCAGTTGAGGAACATAAAAATTTGGCCCCTAATGGTGGCCGAGATGGCTCAAGACATTGTGAAATCAATAAAGCATCGCATTTTATTTATAGAAAACGTGATTCGCTTTGGCGGTGTTACAACTATTGTAAAGGTATGCACGTCTTGGAGTTGTTCTCACCTCCATTTGGAATGCTATGAGAGCGGTTGTTTAGGAATTCATAAAAGAAAATAAAGAGTGGATCGATGGACGACTAAAACTGGAAAATGCCTACAAGCAAATTGTTCTTGGAAAGAATCGAATAGAGTTTGTTCCTCTTGGACCGTATCCTTACTGAAATACAATCCCTGCGATCAAGTATCATGGATAGTGGGCGTTAAGTCATGAGCCAGTGGCAACTTGAAAGAAAAAGGCATCTGGCAACATAACCATGAACATAATCGTTCCCTGTCAGTCACAAGTTCATGGTACGACTTCCGCGGCTCGCACTCGACGGCGGCAACTCGACGCCCTGCGGTTTCTGTGGGATCCATGGCTCAGAAATCACTTTCTCGCACTCTTCCAGTAATAAATGCCATCTAATGCAAAGAGACGAAAACGAAAAACGAACAAACACTGAAGGAACTTCAAAAACTTTGCGTACAAATCTAGGATTACGGTAAGCAATGCACGTCAGGCTTTTGCATCAAAAATTGCATCATTGGTGATTTGAGCTAAGACACTGTCGGATACACTACTCTAACACACTCTTCGCTCGCTGGCAGACGCGAAACTGGCACGATGCCTAAGTTTTCGGGCTGCAATTCTCACCAGTGAAAACACTTCCCACTAACAGGGGGTGGATACACTTTGAATGAATGATCAACCAAAGGTTTCATGCTGCTGTTTTGCCGAAATCACCACAGCGCTTCACCCGCGTGGGGTAGCACGGATTGTATCTGACTCATTCAGATGAAGAAAACGCTCATGTGTGCATGTGCCAGCTGATTTTACTCGCAAAACTAGTCCATCAAAGGATCAAATATGTTTTTCAGAGCCCATGAATTCTAGGCATCAAATGTTCCTCTGTGCCCAACAAGCAATACTCTCTGTCAGAGGCTCATAAGCTGCGTCCATTCAGAATATGTCTAGTCATTTGGGTCAGCGAAACTTCGACGAACTTCCGGCCTCTGTCGGTCATTCGGTGTTCTTCTGTCGAGCTTTAAAAGATCTCACTTTGGCTATAGAGAAAGAAGAAATTGTTAGGAAGGTGAGATACATTCTACTGGGCTCGAAGCTTCCACACGGCAACATTTTACAGATACCCTCACTTACGAACTGTAGCACTAATAGAATTAAAGTTTGTTTCACAGGTGACGAAAAGCGGCACGGCTCCGTTGCTGGTTCGTTCAACGCGCTATGAGTATAAACCGAGTGCGGTGACAGTGTATAAAGCAAATTCAGGTAAAAAGCTGAATGGTTCGAATCTTTGATATGTGGTAACTACACGATCCTCGATTTGGAATCATTTGCTGGTTCGTTTGAGCAGCATGATTATTAGAAAAACGGGTAATATGGGGAGAAGGCGCTGTTTTGGGACATTTTGCTCTTTCGCTAGTTCCTATGTAAATAAACCTCACACAGTGGTGAGATTTGTAAACTCTTATCAGGTCTTAACGACCTCCTGCTATCACATGGCTCTACAGAAATTGACAGGTGGCATAGTCAGTGGGAGGCAGCCAAATGCCCTCACCAAGCCGAGCTAACCCGTTAGTTTTGCTTGATCTGCTGATTCCGTTACATATGTGTGACGTTTCACTTCACCCTTCACTTCGAGCGCGCGGCCTTAGACGGGCTGTGCGATACGTGTGAGGTACACCCTTTCCACATACATGAAGGATATTTGTGCCGGTGTGGGGCCACTATATAACGGGCGAAGCCGCGTCATGTCTATTCGTCTACATCCTTCTCATCGCGTCAGTAGATGTCACCTTTCCGCTGCACTTCAACTTAGAGAGCATGATTTGACTAGATTGACCCATCGTGTTTTCCCCACTGAAGCACCTGGTGATAGTGAAAACATGACTGGAAGTTAAAATTTGAAAATGAGTCGTTCATTTTGAAATTTTGAATAGTAACCACTCTTATCGAACAGAGTGACCCCACTATATTAGTCAAGCTCAGTATTGCAGAGCTGACTGAGCCGCTAGCCCTCAATTTCCATGAAGCTCCTCGTCGCGCACCGTCAGTGAATTCTTTGAGCGGTTTCAGTAGTGAAAGTGGTGCATCAACTGCAACGCAGGTTTGTAATGACGTTTTGCAACTCCTTTAGCTTACCTCGTTACCTACATAATTCAGATAATTCCAGGCTTCCCTTTATAGGAAGGAGATGTCCCAAAACCTTCGTAATAAATTTGAGGGGTTTCCATAGTAATTCAGTTTCCTTCCCGTTTCTAGGCCCAAGTTCGTGGTTCGCGATAGATAGCGTAGGTTGTGGTGTT